TATCTTTCTAAAAATGGAAGCCTTCTTAGATAAGTTATTTTCAGAATCCCACTCAAAACTATTCAAAAATGACATTTTCTCTTCCTTCTTAAATAAAAGCTTTGATAAAAGAATGATAACAGCTTCATGACAGCATAAGATGACCTTGGTTTTGACCCTCCTTCACAACTAAAATTTGGCATTCATCCATGAACTAAAGTGCCTCTGTGGGAGTTGTGGAATCCAGCAACATACACCAAGGGACCCCAGAGAGGTTCCGCCCCCATATGCATCAGGTAATAGGAAGACAGACTTCAGTACAAGCTGTGGAACCAGCATGGGCATGAGCACTGGCTCCAGCCCTGCTCAGCCACAGAATGGGAGCACCTGAAAAACACTGACTTATGTGGACACACACAGAGGAGAGAGCCTTTGTAGAAGTCCAGGCTTCCAGAGAAGAAGTTTCAGGACTCCTTTGGAGCAAAAAACCATCTCTTCTGCAGGGGAAAGGGAGAGCAGTGAGTGAGCATCTGGCTTCCCAAGCAGTGAAAGAAGCTGTTACAGAAACCCATTTCTCACTCACAGCAGCCAGAGTATTAATCAAGAACTCCAAGATTGGGGAGTGGAGGGGAAGTTAAGGAAAGAGGTAGATAGGAACATCCAAGGGCATTAACGGGACACAGTTTCAGCTGACTGTATCCTGGACTCCAGCAGAGAGCCCACCCATGAGCTGCAGGGAAAATCTCACCCCAAGATCCCCCAAGTGGCCTTTGAACACCCACAATGACCTGAATTCCAAACTCACACCTCCCCCAACTCTGCAGCTGGCTCCTAGTACATGTTCCTGTGGGCGGTGGCAAGAGTGAGCTTGGATAGAGAGGGAGCATGTGCAGAAAACAGGCCAGTGTCTGTGGGCAAGGGAGAAACCGCAATCTTGAGCTGTAGTACCGCCACCTTTGGGAAAACAAAAGAGAGGTTAGCAGCTGCCAGCCTGGTGCATTTTAAGATTGAGAGAAGACATACAAGAATTCTGCCACAAGAGGGAGCAAGAAGTGTGGAGTAGGTATATCCATACAAGGTCAGAGAAAGTCTCAGAATATTGCAACAAGACCAGTGAAAACTATCCCTCACTGATAAGAACAGATACTACACTTGAACCTAGCCAAAAGGCTGAGAAGTGATATACAATGGAATATTACTCAGCCATAAAAAGGAACGAAATTGAGTTATTTGTAGTGAGGTGGATGGACCTAGAGTCTGTCATACAGACTGAAGTAAGTCAGAAAGAGAAACAAATACCATATGCTAACACATACATGTGGGATCTAAAAAAAAGGGACTGATGAACCTAGTGGCAGGGCAGGAATTAAGATGCAGATGTAGAGATGGACTTGAGGACATGGGGTGGGAAGGGGAAGCTGGGGCAAAGTGAGAGAAGCATTGACATATATGCACTACCACATGTAAAATAGATAGCTAGTGGGAAGCAGCAGCATAGCACAGGGAGACCAGCTCGGTGCTTTGTGATGACCTACAGGGGTGGGTTAGGGAGGGTGGGAGGGAGGCTCAAGAGGGAGGGGATATGGGGATATATGTATGCATATGGCTGATTCACTTTGTTGTACAACAGAAACTAACATAGCATTGTGAAGCAATTATACTCCAATAAAGATGTATAAAAATAAAGTATCCCTCATGTGAAGGCAGCTAATAAAGATTGGAGAGGTGACTGCTACTTCAAATTCAAAAACAACAATGCAAACTCCAAAAAAAAAGTGAGGAATCAAGAAAACATGATATCAACAAAAGATCACAATAATCATCCTGTAACCAAACCTAAAGTACACAGAGACCTGCAGTTTACCTGATAGAGAATTCAAAATAGCTATTTTGAGGAAACTCAATGAGCTACGAAAAAACACTGTAAGACAATTCAATGAAATCAGGAAAACAAAACACAAATAAAATGAGAAATTCAACAAAGAGCTAGGAATCATTAAAAAAACAACAACAGAAATTCTAAAATTGAAAATTCAGTGAAGGAAATGAAAAATGCAATAGAGAACATCAACATTAGAATAGATCAAGGAGAAGAAACAGTCAGTGAATTAGAGGATACAAACTTTGAAATAACCCAGTAAGAGGAAAACAAATAAAAAAGAATGAAAAAGACCAAAGAAAGTCTACATGAGCTATGGAATACCATTGAAAGAGCCAAAATCAGGATCATTGGAGCTCCATAAGGAGGAGATAGGGAGGCAGAAAGATTATTTAAAGAAATAATGACTGAGAATTTCCCAACCTTGGGGGGGAGACTGGACTTCTAGTTCATGAAGCTAACAAATTACCCCATTATTTCATTACAAAAAGATCTTCTGCAAGACACGCTATAATGAAATTGTCAAAAATCAAAGACAAAGAATCCTAAAAGCAGCAAGAAGAAAAAAGACTGTAACCTACAAAAGAATCTTCATTAAGCTATCAGCAAGTTTCTCAGCAGACACTTACAGGCCAGTAGAGAGTGGGATTATACATTCAAAGTTCTGAAAGAAAAAAATCGCCAACCAAGAATACTCTGCATGGCAAAATTATCCTTCAGGTATGAAGGAAAAATAAAGACTTTCCCTGAAACACAAAAGCTGAGGGAGTTTGTCTCCACTAGGTCTGCCTTATAAAAAATGATGAAAGGATTTCTTCAAGTGAAATGAAAAGAAGCTAATTAGTTAAGTGAAAATATACAAAAATATAGAACACACTGGGAAAGTTAAATGTATAGTCAAATTCAGAAACCTCATTCTGTAATATGATGGCAAGTTACCACTGAACTATAGTATAAAGGTTAAAGGAAAATAGCATTAAAAATAACTATAATTTGATAATATATAGTCTAAAAAACGTACAATATAAAAAGAGATAAATTGTGACATTAATAAAGTAAATGGGAAGGAGTAAAAGGGTAGATTTTTTTGTATTTAATCAAAGTTAAGTTGCTATCACCATAAAATAGACTTTTTAAATCTGTAAGATGTCAGCCTCACATGGTGACCACAGAGCAAAAACCTATATTAGATTCGCAAAAGATAAAGAGAAGGAAATCAGAGCATACCCCCACAAAAAAATAATCAATTCACAAAGAAAGGCATAAAGAGAGGGCAAAACAGCAATGGAATTATAAAAGAATAAGAAAGCAATTAATACAATGGCATTAATAAGTCCTTACATAGCAATAATCACTCTAAACACAAATTTATTGAATTATCCAATCAAAAAGCACAAAGTTTTTACCCTTTGACCAATATCACCCAATTCTCCTACCCCCCAGCCCCTGGTAATCACCATTTTACTCTCTGCATCTACAAAGCTTTTACTTTGTTAGAAGAGGAATAGAGTTTCCAAATCTAAAACATGACATAGTGATTATAGTTAACAATATTGTGTTATATATTTGAAAGTGGCTAATAGAGTAGACCTTAAAGGTTCTTACACAAAAAAGAAATGATAATTATGTGACATGATTCAGGTGTTAACTAATGCTATGGTGGTAATCATATTGCAATATATAAATGGATCAAATCAACACCCTCGACATCTTCAACTTACACAATATGTCAATTATATCTCAGTAAATTTAAAAAATAGGAAATAAAGAACAAAAATGGGAAAAAATTTGATACAAAATTGTTACCAAAAAAACAAAAATGTGTACAGAGGAATACGAAAAAGGGGGAGGGGAGAAAAGTAAATGAGTGGGGAATAGAAGCGACTTTATGCAAAATAATTGAACCTGCACATGATATGATAGAAACATTTTCCTCAGTTACTGAGAAGATTGCAAGTAAATCTAGACTAGTAGAGACTAAAAATAGCTTGGAAAGTTAACAGACTACTGGATAAAATAAATATTGATGTTATCAATCAAAGAACAACAGATAGAATGATTCCATAAGCACATGAAATTTTCTCAAAATTAAAGTTTGCAAGGTGATTAACATGAAATCAAAACTATCTGTCTAAACAAGAGCAGTGGCCTTTGTCATATGTGAAAATTAAAAAAAAGTTTGAATAACACTTGATTTGAGATTTTATATCAATTTTAGCATGGCCTATGTTAGAAATTTTGAAGTAGCATCACATAGAGTGTAGTGAGAACAGCATTGAACTATAAAAGCGGAAGGAGGCATTGGAAATGTGGATACTCATAACTGCAAATGTGATGCTGTGGTACTTTCTGGTGTTTATGGACATGTACGACTGGTACCCACATTCCTTGTAAAGTACTGACTTCTGCTTTTTCCACTCCCCACCCCCGGCTTACTTGCATCTCTATTTCATGGCTAATGTAATGGCTGAAGAAGTCGTAACTAGTTATTAACTGAACAATTACAACAATTAATAACAATTGTTAACTTGAATATCTCCAAGGTGAAGAGAGGTCAACTAACTAAAATCCATGGAAAACTGAAGTTTTAAAAATGTCACTTACATATACTATAACAGATCTATGAAGTACATACATATATGCATTCATAAACATATATATAGTCAATATATAGCTATGTCTATAACAAAATATTTGGTTTGACTCACTAGCAGGGCTTCCCTATGATGTTTCGGTAAACCAGTGAGCATATTTTAATTGTTAAAAAGTGCTGTCATAAACTAAATGGATCAGATGAAGATATGTGCTAAAAGCCGTTCAGACGCTCTATGAGGAATATAGGGAAGGTATATTCCAAATCTGCCTAATAAATTTGTTCATATAGTTGATATTATATATCAAGCATATTTTGATATATAATATCAAAAGCATAAGCATATTGATATTATAATCAATATATTTGCTATCATATATCAAGCATATTTTAATAAATAATTACTTGAAGTATATCTCCCTTATTCCTAAAAGGGTCTGAAGTTGGTGCAAAAAAATAGCAAAGAATTAAAAGAAACACATTAATAAAACGGGGGAAAGAAAAGAACACAAAATATAGATTATACTCTGAATTCCTGGAACTACTTACTAAGACCAATCTGTAATAGTTTCTCTTTTTCCTCCTCCTCGTCCTTCTTCATCTTCATGAGTTTAAAATCTAAAGAAAAAAGATATCAGCACTTATTTATTGAGAAAGTATTTTGTGGATATATCAAACCTCAACCATGTGAAATCTTTACTGTTTAGCATTGAATGATGGCGTAGAACTCCATCATAGTGTATCTTACTTTTACTTGAAGAGGGGCACAAATTATATAATAGCTAATACTTATTCAATACTTACTAAATGCCAGATGCTGTTCTAAGAACCTTACCTGTTGAAACTAATAATTCTCTCAAACCAGCCATGTAATAAATACTATTATTATCTTCACTTTATAGAACCTCGTGTCCTGAGAGTTTTAGGTTATAACTTTATATGGAACATATCTGAACCTTACAGAGCCAGTGATCTTAACCACTATGTTACACTGACTGTGAGTATACCACAGATTGACATATTTCTCTCAAACATGATAACCACGTAAAAAACTAAAAATATAATACAATACTTCTTGTCACTAAGTCATGTAATAATTACTTATTGAGTAACTATTATTGTCCTAGGAAAATATTAAGTTATGTTATAAAATGTCCTCTGATACTTATTTTAAAAGATGATGCTCTATATTTTTACTCTTATTATATTTGGATTTCTTGAAAATATCTTTGAATGGAAATAATTTTATTTATATTTCAACCAATGCAAATAAAAATCTATATTAAATATTTATTTATTTATTGTTTTCATATATATTATCCCAGGATTATAGTCTACTCCAAATGAAATTCAGCCAAATCTAAATAATTTTAACAATAGACCTCAGGCAATTTTCTCAGTTGTTTACACAAACTATAACTGAATAATGAGATGGCAAGTTTTGTTGTAATTTTAAGTCTACCTTGTTATTCACTTAGCTTTTGTTCCCATCCTGATTCAGTATGCCATTGTGATTACAGCATGTGTGTTGGTAACAAATTCATAACTGTGTTATGACTCTATTTTCATATCTCTGAAACATCCATGAAAGTATGTGTGCCTGGGGTAGTTTGGAGGAATTAATGAGATAATGTAGGTAAAGCACTGTTGCCAGCATATACTGGCTTTTAGTAGGCCAGAATATAGTGGTTTTTAAAAAGCCATTTTAATAATGAGTTTATAAACCATATTTGATATCTCAAATATCTCTCTTTTGACTACATTGGTAGCCTTGAAATTCTCCAGCACTGGCCTCTTTCATTATTTGTCATATTATACAGACACTGAGCACTTACTGAACTCAAGATGTGTGCAAAGTGTTTGATATACAAAAATCTTGGCCGGCCCTGTTACCTTACTGCATTAGATTTAATAATTAAAGCATTATTTGGGTTAGATCAAAATATCACAAACTTCCTTGGGTAAGGTGTTATAGAGAGGGAGAACAGGATGTACCTCTTTCTCAGTACATTTTATCCGTGGGGATAGCGATGAGCCAAGTGACACACCCCTGAATAACAAGGTAAATTTACTGAACACTCTCTTCCAGTTCTAGTGCTATAAATATGTAAATTATAGATTATTCCTAAGTAATTTTTTTTCCTGCAAAATGTTTCTCTACCTTGTCTGGCTTGGCCAGTTTTACAGGCTTCTCAGTTCCTTCTCATTAGGCTATTTTTGTTTGTTTGTTTCTCGAATCAACATACAACAGAACTTAACAAAAGACAGGTGCAAACTATTTGAAAACTCATGAGATATTATTTTGATAGATTCAGTAGAGGGAAATCCCAGTAACTATTGGCTTGGGGAAATTCTGGCATCTGTATTTGGCACATAACTGATCAGCAAAACTTATGCTGCACTTGAATTCAGATAAACACACACACATGCAAACATATACAGAAAAATGGTTTTGAAAAGAAGCTGTCTAGGTTGGAGACAAGGTTTCTATAAATGAAGGAAATAGGCTTTCTTTAGGCATGATACATTTGACTGCTTTATAAATTTTCCCATCAAGCGGGATGTAAATGTAAATTTGAACTGTAGAATTGAGAGAAATGACTGAATATTTCAGCATTCCTAAACATAAGTATATTCACAAATATCGTTGTGAAATTGGAAACTTGAGAAAAGTGTCTTTGTATTACGTTCCTTGATAACTACACTCCTTTTCCATTTTTCCATTAAAATCTGATGGTGCACACACTCGATTGTGACACATTCAACTTGCTTTTCATCAAAGATTATTCATTTTCATAGCAACTACTGAGATTAGGAACTAGCACCATACTCTCTATATTACTTTCCTATTCGTGGAGGAAGGATGGACATAGAAGAAAGTAGATGACCAAGGGCAGGAAAAGCAATCAAAATATAAATTTTCATTTCATAAATAAATGAGTTAGTATCAAACATATGGATAGTATAGAAATCAGTTCAAAGTAAATACTAAATATTAGTAATTATTAAAATAACCCAGGTATCATCCAGGACCCTCCCTGCTTCTTGAGATCTGAGTAAAAAATGCTTGAAATGCCCCAAATTCCATAGATTATGGATGTCCAAAACTGTTAAAAGAAGTTCAAGTTTCTCAGGTAAATATATTATAAATTTGCATTTATATTTGAAGTCAAAGGCTAATTTATTTTTCTTCTATATTCTTCATCCTCTCATATTTCATAGCAGATAGGAAGTATTCAATTAAGTTGCACGAAAGGTAACATCTCAGGTTAAAAGCATGATGTCTTGGGCATAATAGCATTTAAATAAACATTTTTAAAATTCAATTCAATTAAATATTAAAAAGAGACATTGTTATTTGAAGTAATAAATTTAGTAAGTAAATTTAATTGTAAATGATCAAGGTGTTAATACTGCTAACAACTAAGAACGATTAACGTAAGAAAAGCAAACACGCAGATTTTAGTCTGGTTTATTTGTATCTCATGTAAATTAGGCAGAGAAATATCATGGAGTGTCTAGAAAATCTGACTACCAGGAGAGAAGATGTAAATTAAGTAATTAGAAAGCAGTAAAGCATCATTGTTTTTTTAGTGTAGAATGGGAGATAGCCAAGAAAGAAAGGGAAAACAGAAGTGTTGAAATGAAAAAAAAATCACTTGGAAAACTCAGAAACTTCCACAGCATGCAAGGCAGAGAAAACTGCTTCTTAATCTTAATACTGAAGAGAAAATAGCCAATCTCTCTTACAATGGTCTATCTACTACTCTGAATTATATCCTGACATCAATAGGTAGCATATATTTTCATGCTGGACATTGTGAACAGGAAACAGGGAGGTGGCTTTGTGGTCAGGATGTCAGTGACAGCTTAGATCCTGCACTCCCTTCCCATCCTGCCTTATTTATTTTAGAAAAGAATCACTTTAGTTACGGGAGAGAGAAATAACACAATACCAAATTTATTTACTTCATATATAAGAAAGCTAAAAATGCATAGCTGTTTGACTCCAGAACATCTGATCTTTTACAGGAGGCACAGGAAAAAATGACTGCTGGGGCTGCCTGCCTCAATACAGTGATGTATTTTGAGAGTTTATTTTTGCATTTCTTAACTTTATTCCTGTCACTTTAGATGAGGATGTTTTGCACCTACCATCTGTATGTTGTAGGCAACATTCCCTTCAATAAACTCAATAAAATGTTACACTGGTATATTTATGACTCTGCCAGTAACCAAAATAAGCTATTTTCCCCCTTAAATGTGCTTCAGTTTTTCCAGTGGTGAAATATATGAACTCGCTTCTTAACAACTGAGAATGATGTTGTGAGTATAGAACATTCTGCTAAAGGTCAGAAGGAGGATATAAGTCAGAAATTTCTGTAGTTGAATTTCAGAAGTTTAGACAGAGACATATTTTAATTGGATCAAATAGGTTACAATACTAGTAAATCCATTTCAGATCCTTCAGGGACATGCTGATATAGGAACATGTGCAATTTAAAAGTGAAAGAACATTGTGTATGGGCGAACTTTAAAATCATTCCAAAGTAAAGGTAAAAGGTTTATTTATGTTTGCTTATCTACAGTTCATATACTTTCTTGTTTTTGTTGTTGTCATTTTTGTTCTTGTTTTTCCTACTCCTCCTCATTGTCGTTGTCTCCTCCTCCCCTCCCCCTCCTCCCCTCCCCCTCCTCATCCCCCACCTCCTCCTTCTTCTTCTTTCTTCTTATTCTTCACAAAATTCAGTGTTTGCTAAACTGAAAGCACTAAACAAAAAAATAATCATTTTGCAGAATTTCCTAAAGTGACATGCATAGCATCTATTCCAATGATGTTTTTTATGTTTCCTTTTACTCTATTTTGAGGAAATCTTTTGATTTGGGTTTTATTGATGAGGTAGGCAAAAATAATAGCTCCCAAATATTCTAATCCATAAAATGAATATGTTATGGCAAAAAAGGCTTTGCAGATATGATTAAAGACCTTGTGCTGGGGAGATTATTCTCAATTATCCAGAGATAATCCAATATATAATCACAAAAGTCCTTATAAGGAAAAGAGAGTGACAGGAGTGTTAGAGAAGATGTGACAACAAAACAGAGGTTGGTTGGATTGATATGATTGCTGGAAGAGGGCCAGGAGCCAAGGAATGGGGGCAACTTCCGGAAGCTGAACAGGCAAGGAATGGTTTCTCCTCTACATCCTCCAGAAAAAAAGTAGTCAAGCCAGCATGTTGACTTTAGCCCCATAATACTCATTTCACACTTGACCTTCAGAATGATAAAAAACAATAAATTTGTCCTGCTTTAAGCCACTGCATTTGTGGTAACTTTTTATAGCATCAATAGGAACCTAATACAATTGACAATTCATTTTGAGCCCTAACAGTAGACCACATTTAGTCTTAATAAAAAATCACATAGCTCACATGAGAGTGTTATAATAGATCAACAGCATATACAGAGGAATACTTTTCCTCTTATAGAGAAAATAAAATAGTATACATGTTCTGCCCAGGGAGGAAGCTCTTCACCTTTTGACACAATCTATAAATCACTATTCCCCATTATTAAAATTTTTTTTCTCATTTTTATAGCATGCAGCAGAAAATCAG